ATGTGTGAAAGGTGAAACAGATTTTTACGGAATCATACAAGAGATCATCGAAGTGGAGTTCCCCGGCATGAAGCTCAAATGCGTACTCTTCAAATGTGAATGGTTTGACCCCACTATCAATAGAGGTGTTCGGTATAGTAAGTTTGGTGTTGTTGACGTAAATGCCACACGGAGGTACAAAAAATTTGAGCCATACATATTGGCTTCTCAGGCAGACCAAGTATGTTTTATACCTTACCCAAGGATCAGACAATCGGGAAGTTCCTGGTTAGCCGCTATAAAAGTTGCACCTCGGGGCCGAGTATTGAACGATGACCAACCGCCTTTACAAGAAGATGTCGTAAATGAAGTAGAAGTATCTGAGCAACGTATTGATGATATCTTACTTGTTGATCCGCAGAATCCGATATATGAAGAACTTCCAGACGATGCGATTTTGGACGAAGCCAACGAAGATGAATTTGAAGAAAATGATGAGGTGGAAAATGTTTTTGATGACGAGTGATTATGTACTCTACCGTCAGCTTTATTTGATTCCATTATGAAATACATTATGTTTGCATTATATTATGATCCGAATAATATTCCGATATCTTAATTATGTTTGCATTATGAAATTTTTTTTGAGTTTCGAGATATATTTGATATACGTGTTTGCGGTTTGTGGTAATTGGGGTTTAGGGGTTGGAGGTTTGTGGTTTGGGTTTGGGTTCTACATTTGTGGTTTGTGGTTTAGGGTTTAGGGTTTAGGGTTTAGGGTTTAGATGACTACATTACGATTAATAAGTATTTGGAGCCTAATCAGTCGTAACACTACGACTACATTACAACACTTAGTTGTAACTTAGTCGTAATAGTTCGACCCTAATTGGTCGTAATGCGCGTATTGACCCACATTAGTCGTAATGTGGTCGTAATTCGTAGTAGTAATGTAGTCGTAATATGTATTCGTCGTACATTAGTCGTAATATTACGACTAATTTATGACCATTGGTCGTATATTAGTCGTAATATTACGACTAATGTACGACCAATGGTCAAAACTGTATATATATAGGGACCTCGCGGAAGCATTTCAGTTGCTCATTCACTTCTCTCTAACAACTACACAACATCTCTCTAGGTAATTTTTTTTTAGGTGGTTAGTTAGGTAATTAGTTTAGGTTTGTAATTAGTTTAGGTTTGGATTTAGTTTAGAATTGAAATTTGATTTATTTTAATTGTTTAGTTTAACCGGTTTATGTTTTTTATAATTTTCAGATATTTACTTCGCTATGTCTGGAAGAAAGAGAATCCGGAACCTCGCGGCTAAAAACTCCTACGCGAGTACTTTTCTCGGTCAGTCATCTACCTCGGCTGGCACCTCATCCGGCGGCACCTCATCCGGCCATGACCCAGTTCCGGAGACCCAACCGGCACATACTACTCAGGAGCCGTTTGTCCCTCCGTATTATCCACGCATTGAGGATGATACGGATTTCTTCACTTATGTGCCGGAACCTGAGTATGTCCCTCCGCCTTCCCAGAACCCGTCACAAAATCCTTATCCGGATCCTGATCAGAACCCGCAACATGCCCCAAACCCGCAACAAAATCCTTATCCGGCTCCCCAGAACCCGCAACAAAATCCGTATCCGGCTCCCCAGAACCCGCAACAAAATCCGTATCCGGCTCCCCAGAACCCGCAACATGCCCATAACCCACAACAAAATCCTGATCCGGCTCCCGGTGTTCATCCAGATTTGATGGTGCCGGCGAATGCACCATATGCGAGATATACGGTGGAAGATATTCTCGGGATGCCGGGCCGAGAAGGTTTACGAATCGTCGATCCGGATCGACTCCCCGGCACGTTTTGGTAACTCTTCTAAATTATTTAATTAAAGTTAATTTAAATTTTAAAAATTTATTTGATATTATCATAAATATATAAATTCTTTCATATTTTGTAGGTTTTTGACGGACAATGTTTTAGGACAGAGCGTTGGGGATATCATTCGGGCAAACTTTCGGCATGCCCACCCCAACTGGACTCTTACACCGGACCACGTTCGCATTACGTGGTTCAAGTGTTTCGCGGTAATTAGTTTCTAAATTTTTTAAAAAAATTTAATTCATGCATTAATTGATTGTATATATAAATTAAAGTACTAATTATGTTTTTTAATTTTCATAAACTTTTTGTAGCAAAAATGGAATTGGTCCATTGGTGTCAACGAGGAGGTCAAATCTGGGTTCTACAAAAAGGTGATGCAGCGCCTCAAGAACATTGTTGGAGATTGGAAGGACGACTGGAGGCTAAGACAGGATGACGCAAAACCAACCTACCTCAGCAATGACGTTTGGGTTGGTTTGGTGGCGTTTTGGATGAAGCCTGAGTCAAGGGGGAAGTCTACCAAGTACTCTGCGGTCCGGTTGACCAAAGATGCTCAAGGTAACCCGCCAATTCCTCATACTTCCGGGCAGACTCCACATGCTGGGAGGGCACTTGAAATTGTAAGTGTTTGAATATTCTTGATCATTTTATTATAATTTTTTAATGTAAATTTAATTTAAATTTTTTTTTTAATATAGGCCGCCAAAGAAGGAGCGCCACCATCTCTCGCTCGGCTATACAAGATTACCCACCAGCGTTCTGATGGGACTTTTGTGCATCCTCAAGCAGAGAAGATCTACAACGAGGTAGAGGCTCGGATCGAAGAGGTCCAGACTCAGAGGTCGCAACAAAATCCGGATGCTCCACCGATCCAACTTACAACCATCGACCAAGACAAGATTTTCGAGCAGGTAAATTATTTTAATTTTTAACTTTATTAACATTTTTAATTTTTTTATTAAGTTTTCACATTTTTACTTAAAATTTGATCTTTAATTTGTAGGTTGCTCCGAAGAAAAGGGGACATATTGTTGGGATCGGGACGGTGAACGATGTCCCGAGGGCGAGGGCCGAACATGCAGCAAGAATAGAAGAAGATTCCTCTCTCCGACGGGAACTAGCAGCTGCCAACAAAGTCATAGACGAGCATAAAGACAAGTTCAAGGCTATGGCGAATATGTTCGATCTTATGATGGAGACCTCGAACCCAAACCCGACGGTTGCCNCTAGCAGCTGCCAACAAAGTCATAGACGAGCATAAAGACAAGTTCAAGGCTATGGCGAATATGTTCGATCTTATGATGGAGACCTCGAACCCAAACCCGACGGTTGCCAATGCATGGCAAGCTCTACGTCCGAGCTTTAACCCCGACCCCACTCCGGAAGAGCAAGTGGATATGGATCGACGTGCGGAGCAGCACTCTTTTGAGTTCTTCCAAAACATGAACCTCAACAAAACACCTTAGTTTTTCGGTTTTTTGTATGAATACTTTGTATATTATTTTAATCAAATATAATTTTATATATATATTTTTAAAATTTATTATTTTTTAAAAAAAACGAATTAAAAATCAAAAATTAAAAAAAAAAATCAAATTAAAAAATCGTTTTATTTAAAAATAAAATATAAATTGGTCGTAAATTAGTCTTTGATTTACGACTAATCGACAACAACCGTCGAAGTTACTTAGTTGTAATATTACAACTAAGTAACTACTAACGTTTACGACTCGTGAACTACTACACGCATTACGACTATTTAATTACTAACTTTATTACGACTAATAAACTACTAATAGATTTACGACTACGTTACGACTACGTGTGTCACCTCAACTTTACGACTAATACCTTAGTCGTAATATTACGACTAGGTTACGACCAATGCTTGTAGTCGTAATGTTACGACTACGTTACGACTAATTGTGCATTACGACTAGCGAATAACTACCAATTGGTTTTCGATGTTAATTGGTCGTAAATGGCATATTACGACTAATTAACAACCAATAGTGTAGTCGTTAGACACCTGTTTTCTTGTAGTGTCTACCATTCGCTTGATGTTCATTCCAATATCCCCAAAATTTTCGTACATGTTAGATTTGAAGAATGCATCTTGTTCTGATGATAAAACCACCTCCTGCCAGGAAAGGAGACTTATTATCTAGTTGTTAAGTTTTCAGCTAATAAAATACGGTACTGGAGAGAACTCACAACTTGCTGATCTTTCGGAAGACTTCCAATGGCTCTCAAGTCAACTTTATTATCTTGAAGTCCTATGAGTTCGTGCACCATTGCCTACAAAAGATCTCGTCAATGAGCAAGGCTTATTCTGTACGACATCTGGAAGCAGATCTTATATACCAGAGAGTAGCACAGTAATAGCATTTTTAGTCAAGTTAACCTGATATGTCCACTGATTCAGTAATGGGGTAACTGGGTCATCTCTTCTGTCAATTACAAGCAGCAACGGAGAGCTTTCAGTGCTTCTGAAGTCAAAAAGACCGCTTTCTTGCTGATACATCAACTTCTGAAACAGAAACGTGTTTTTCAAATGAATTCAATACACAGAATTTTCAGACTAAACAAGCTGGAGATGTAGAAATAACATATACTGAGCTAGTCCCACAATTTCACTTACAGCTGTTTCCTGTGCAATCCTTTTTGAAGTATCAGAGGTCCTCTGGTATCTAATGACAGGTCTACGTTTCAACGCCACAAACACTGCCGCAATTCCATCAACAACCCTGTCGGAGTAGCGTTGCAAACCAGAGGGATCGACAACAGCTGGGAGCATATACAGGTGATTTGATGCCATAACACAAACAGACATGGATCGAAACCATTCTTCATCATCATCATATACTCTATACAAGAAACAAGACCACAGGTCCATAAGTGGAAGCATTACCCAAAAAATGTCCAGAGAGAATTAAGTAAAAGACTTTACAAAGCAGAACACAAAACATGCACTGGTCTTTTGATATTCAAATACTTTGCAAAAAAGAATTCACAGATCCAATTGTAAACCAGAGAAAGCACATAAGGAAGGAGTGGTGGACTACGAGACAATCTATAGTCATCGGGTGTCTCACGTACATAGCCACGATCTCTGTTCCTCTACATGTCTGAAGCTTCAATATTTCAACGTTCTCATGGTGAGGAAACGGGTTCATCACAAGAAATCATCATCGATTCATCACGGAGGCGGCGAGGAGGCGTCGAGGAGAGAGAGAGAGACGATGAGAGATCATCGTCGATTGAGAATCACAGAGGCGTCGTGGAGGCATCGACGAGAGAGCGATTTCATCAAGAGAAGGAGAAAGTTGAAGGCTTGAATTTCGTGAGAGAGAAAGAGAGAAATGGACGCTTCATGAATGGGCAACACGTGTACAATAAGACACACTGCTTTTGATGCCTAATTAAACAGTGGTGCTTCTATAATTACGTGTTTTTCTTTTTCTTTTTTTTTTTAAATCCAAAAGTCATTAAGCACTCCATTAAGCACATGTGTTAATGGTGCTCTTAGTTTCTCTTTCACGTGAGGGAGCAATTCACAAATAACCGTACACGTGTTTGGCGTGACCTAATAAGCAGGGGCCGTGTGTGGGAGCGAGAAGCTGGTGAAAGGGATGATGGATCTGCGTGGCGGGTCTCTGATGCTTCTGAGTCCTACCATGAACACCAAGGTGTCCTTTGAGCTCTCTGAGAGAATCCCTCACTTGGGCCTCCGCATGAAAGAGCAAAGCTGCAGGGCCCAAGTATATGCAGAGAGAATGAGAGAGCTGGGGTTAAAAGTGATATACCCGGGCCTCAAGGACCATCCCCAGCACAAGCTGGCTACAGAAATGGTGGACCGAGTGTACGGATACGGAGGGTTGCTGTGTCTATAGACATGGAGACTGAGGAAAGATCCAACAAGCTCATGACGTATCTCCAAAACGCCACCGAGTTCGGACTCATGGCAGTCAGTTTGGGTTACTACGAGACTCTCATGTCCTGCTCCAGTAGCAGCACCAGCAGCGAGCTCGATCCCTCCAAGAAAGCAGCCGCAGGTAGCTCTCCTGGCCTTGTACGAATCTCTATCGGGTATGCGGGTACATTGGAGCAGAAGTGGACACAATTCAAGAAGGCTTTCATCAGAATGTATTGTCTTATATAATGTTTAATGTGGCCAACCTTCTGAATCTTATATATGCCTTACCATCTTTCTGGCTTTTTTTCTTTGAACAACCATGCTTTTAAATTTTATAATAATGATCTCTTTATATATTAATTGATAAGCATTTTTAACTTTTGACTTATGACCTATGTCAATGTGATTACTAAAACGATTTTAGAATCATTAGAGAAATATGTTTAAATTACTATACTAATTACAATACTTGTTATTCATAATTTTATCCATTTAAAAATATATATTAAATTAACTATAAAATGAAGGGAAATTAGGTGAAACGACACTAAAAAAACCTAATTGATTAAGTAGCCAATTGCCTACATTTTTCACTGTTCCACTTATCTTTTATATAATACTAGGTGTTTTTCTGCACTATGTGCAGTGATAAACTTTTTAAAAGTTAAATTATATTTAAAATAAAATTTATTATTATCATATATTTTATTATTTTAATTAATATTTAATATAAATTTGATTTAGTTAAGCATAATATTAAGAAAAATAAATTTATTTTTTAAAATTATATTTAATAATATAAATGTAATATATTTAAATTTTGAATATTATAAATCTTTTGTATCTATTTATTTTGGTTAAATGTATTAAAGCAACTTGTATAAAAGTACTAAGAAAATTCATATAAAATTGTATATTTATTAAAAAATTATAACCAAAAAATATTTATAAAATTTGTCGATATCTAAAAGCAACTAATGATATTACGATTATAAATTTATTATTTAAAAAAAAATATGTTGAAATTTTTTAAAATATTAGTAATAAAAATTGTATAATTATAAAAGTAAAATTAAACAACATTTCGAAATGTATAATGCATATTTAATATATTTATTTTTTAGTGATGATTTGATTTAGGAATTATTACTATATTTTAAGAAGTTTACCAAAAATATAAATCAACATTAAATATAATGTATCAGTTATTGTAATATTATATAAAGTTATATCAGAAATAAATGTAATTGTCCATGTTAACTATAAGTCATGTCATCAATCTTAGTAGTCATGTCATCATTATTTTTGTAAAAATGATTGTACAGAGGACATGGCAAATAACTTCGCAAATAATATATAAGAGATTGTTGTATTGTCTCTGCTTGAAATAGAAAAAACCTGCTAGATAAAATTAATAATTACAATTTTACAAAAGTGTGTCGTGTCCCTTCCAAATTCATACCCCTTTGAATAGTTTCACTCGTGATTGTCTCCACCGTGTTTTCTCTGACTACAATCCGACGCTAATTCGACTAAGAAAAGGCGTTTGAAGAGGATTCAGTTGTCTGAGTTGCCAGTTCACTGCTTTTGAAATCTTCAGAAAAGACGAGAAAGTAACATGTCAAACTGTCTTTTTATTGGCTCTCGCCGATCCGCATTGAAATCTATACGCTGACCCTTACCGACAAAACTTGTGTAGTGGCGATCACCTCCATCTATACGAACAACATCATCACGTCGCCCCCTTATGTTCTTCTCTTCTATTTACTGTTTCAACAACAAAATCCATCTCTCTGATGCGGTTATATGTACTATCTCTATTCATGTCATCAGATACACTTATATTTTGTCGCCGTGAATGACCTAAGTTGATCGGAGAAGACGAACAGTTTTGTTTATTTTGTTTTATTCGTTTGCATATATAATAGAAATATAAAACAATATGTAATATGTTTGATATATTCCGATTATGAAATGAAATACAATGAAACCTCTATAAATTAATACTATTGGGACTACACCTAAACTATAATTGTTTATTAATTTATAGAGATTATTAATTTATCGATATACTAATTGAACCAAAAACTCAATTTGAGACTATAAATTATATGATTTTTATAGATATTGTTAGTGTATATTAATTTATAGAGTATTAATTTAAGAGGTTATACTATAGTAGATTGTATAGTATAATATTACATAATTTAATTTAATTTTACATAATACATGTAATTTTTAGATTTTGATATTTGAGTTTTAAGGTTTAGTGAATATGATTTAGGGTTTAATATTTAGAAGGTGAAGGATATGGCTGGGGTCAACATTAACTTCTTCCGTGAAATCATAGACATTTCATTACTTCACAAATATATACCATGTTATTTATTTTGTTCCATTCTATTTGAGTTTAGAGTTTATATTTGGTTTTAGAGTTTAGTGAATATGATTTAGAGTTTAGTGAATATGATTTAGAATTTAGTATTTAAAATGTGAGGGATATGATTGGGGTCAGCATTAACTTCTTCCATGAAATCATAGATATTTCATAATTTCACCAATATATATCATGTTATTTATTTTGTTTCATTTTATTTGGGTTTATATTTAGGTTTAGGGTTTAGTAAATATAGTTTGGGGTTTAATGTTTAGAAGGTGAAGAGATATGGTTGGGGTTAGCATTCACTTCTTCCATGAAATCATAGATATTTCATAGTTTCACTAATATATACTATGCTATTTATTAATTTTCTTTCATTATATTTGGGTTTAAGACTTATATTTAGGTTTAGAGTTTGTATTTGAGTCTAGAGTTTAGTATTAAGGGGTTGCGGTGGGGTTGGATAATGTGTAGTATATGGGTTGGAATTGGGGTAATATTGAGTATTAGAGTATGTGAATGAAATCAGAAATCTGTATTATTTCAGCGATGTGGAATATAACAATCAATGAGTGCACAAGAAAAAAAAAGTGCACAAAAAAATGAATAGAACAATATGTCAGTATGTGGTCATAAACATGTGACATGGTTTCTTATACTATGTCGAAATCAATGACATACATATAATTTCTTCTCTAAAAATAGCTATCTCGTAAATTCTCCCTAAAATGAATTAGTAATAAAAAAAATTCATTATTTTTTAATAAAAAATATGAAATTACCTGATGTGATTTAAAATAAAATTACAATAATTAATAATATTGAATAATAAAGAGTTGATAACAACTTGTATATTTTCAATCAGTTTGATTAGTTTTATATTATTAAAATAAACTAAACAATATAGTAACCATAGAGTAAGAAAATGTATATAGATTTTTTTGTATATGTTATATTTTAAATTTTAAAAATGGCTATAAATTAGTAAGACTATTAAAACTCACACTGAAAATTGTTCGATCAAGGGTTTAAATCATTTGTTATAAGAAAATACAAATGATCATAAAACCATATGAATAAAATTCTAATTTAGTAAATATCTAGATTAAATATATATATATATATATATGTATATATCATTTAAAGTAACATCTAATCCATATAAATCCATAAATATCTTAATTTCAAAAGTTCAGAAATATGTATCATGCCTGGGTTGATAAAAATTAATTGTTTCTAAAATTTTATTGAGAAAATCCCTTGGATAACTCTTTTTAGTTTGTTTTCATAAAAATAGCCTTTAAAAAGGAAAATGACGAATTGAAGTTTTTATTAAAGAGTAAATGTGCACTTATACCACTGGATTAACTAATCTTAGGGTTTAGAGTTAAGGGTGGTGTTTTGGGTTTAGGGTTTCAAATTCTAAAAAATAAAAAAATATATATTGCAAATTTAAAAATAGAAAGGGTTATTTTGGTTATTTTATTTTTTTAAGAGCTATTTTATGACAAAGCGGAAAATAGTTATTTGAGATAATTTCCCTTTTTATTTAATTATATCACTAAAATATATTTTTTATATCTTTTTATTATTTAAATATTATTATTTTTTTATACAAATATTTTTTTTAAATATCTTATTGTGCACATAGCTCGGATTATATCTAGTATCCTGTGGAGAAAAGCAAGGATCCAAGCCATTAATGATATATTTCTCTATATTATTATTTACGAAATAATTCTTTCATCATAAATTCTACTTTTAAAGTGACAAAAATTCTATTTATTTTCTTTTTTATATCAATATAAACAGTTTCTTGAAGACTCTGCAAACCTAATTGGTATCTCTGTATCCATATGAATGACGAACAACTAATGTTTTCTCGCAATGCGTGTTAAACTGTCCGCCATTAAATTTTGCGTTCTTGGTACATGAATTATCTCTATGTTGTGGAAACTTTCTTTTAGAATTTTGATATCTTCCAAATAACTTGTATAAACTAGCCATACTTTTAATTCCAAAACCATATTCACCAATTGAAAACAATTCGTTGCAAATGCGACTTGAAATTGACGTAAATTCCTCATACATTCCATAGTCCATGTGAGAGCTTTTACTTCAAAATAAAGTGGTGACAGATTTTCCCTAGTTTTTCTTGCCCCCATCAAAACCCTCTAACATATTATACCAGCCTTTCCCCGAATGAGTATCCTATTTTTTCCATGATCCATCCGTAAAACACTATTTTTCTAGGATGAAAGGTAAAGTTGTGTCCGTCACCTCTCTATTTTGGATAACCCTCAATGTTATTGATTCATGTGCCTCTACCTAAATTAATGATTCTGTTTTTGCCAGTTTAAGAGTATCCATGAGATCGATATCCATATTATTAAACACTTTATTATTTCGTCCCTTCCAGATGTACCAAAGTATCCATGCAAATTGATGATCTTCCATTTGAGGGAAAACTCTTCAATATAGATAGTCCATATTTGCAAACAATGACTGTCCATGAAAGATGTCTGGATTCGAGGGATACTTCGAGAGTTAAAAGATAGAATCACTAATATGTTTATTATCTCTAATGGAAGGAATAAAAATAATATATCTTCATGTATTTTTTTTTAATCTGAAACAATATTTTCATTATAAAAATTTAAAAATCAAGAAGTATAAATATTAAACATTTTAAAAAGAAAATCAAAATTTCCATATGAAAAAGGGAATATATGTTTGGATCAAAATCTAGTTGGACTTTCTTATAACCTTAATAACATGATTTGCTAAGTTTTGAGTATATTGGGGATGATTGGTTGGGCTTTAACTAGTGACTTTAGCTTTATTTTCTATCTACAACCATATAAAT